AAGCATCGATATGAACACTAAAGATTCAGAAAGAGTTGCATGAGTCAAATGGTGATTACAAGGGTATGGCAGCTCAGAAAACTCACTCTAATCATTCTGATAAGAACTCCTGAATTTGTTGGTGAGGCCTACATCAAGTGCCTTGAGGGTTGGGGGATTGTGCTGCCCTAGGTCAAGACAGTGGCTTGCTTGGAAGGACCTACATCTGGCAACAGGACTCTGCACAATGTTCGACCATCAGGGAAACCTAATCATGGCTGCCAGACAATTTTCGTGACCACATCACCACTTACATCTGGCCACCTAACTCCTAGGGACTGCAACTTTCTTGATTATTAAGTGTGGGGCACAGTTGAGTGAGAGACCAACAAAACTCCTTGTAACATCAAAGAACTGAAGGCAACGATTATGGCAGCATTCAGCAACTTAAACAAGGAGACCATCCAGGAGAGATGCAGGAGATTCTGAAGTTGTCTGGAGGCCATTGTTGAAACCAATAGCGATTTTATTGAATAAATCTACTCTTTCATCTTTCAAGGTATATTTGTGCAATTTTGGTAAATATGTTAGAATGAGATGTCAGTGTTATTTTCATTTTTGTATAATTTAGGTGGTAATTTATCCATCCTGTAGATATGCACATAACTGTTTTATGTTTTACCTCAACAACAAAAAACTCATCTAGCATTTTCTTCAGTTAGCCATCAGCCAGAATTTTTGTCATTATCTGAATAATACATCTAGTTGAAATTGTCAAAGAGTAAACTCTGCCAAATTGCTTTGATCCTTCTAAAGTGACTAGAAATTATATGACTTTATTTATCATTTGGTTAACACCTTTATTACGTACATATAGAATGTGTATGAATCATAGCAGTGTGTAGAGAACAAAATGAACACGAGGTATAAATTTCAAGAAGGAGACATTAATTAATATCATTTGGTGCTTAACCGGCTTCTTTTCCACTTTTATTTTGATGGCCAAAAGTAAACAACAATAAACAGTGAAAAAACAACAATTAGCTTTAATCAACTGGTTGAAATTCATGTTTCAAAATGTTATATTGCATGAATATATTTAAATCATAATTTATTTTAAAATAAGCTGAAAAGTTTAAAATAATACAAAACAAAGAGTCAGTTATTTTTGCACCAATGACATTAATAGTTTGTGTGTGGGTAAATTTATCATATTAAACCTTTAAATACAATCATCAAAAGAAATATAAATCTTTTCCAATATTATGAAGAAGTTCATAAAAATCTGTTTTATGGCACATTTCAATGTCATTTTTATGCTAATATTTTTGTTTCATGACCCATATTAACGTCTACATACCAAAAAAGAAATTGATTTTGTTTTATATGCTACATTTTATTTTTAAGTTTTCTCATGGTGACAAGAAAATTGATGATTTATTTATTTTCACATTTTTATTTTTAATTGTCCCTTTCAGCCAGTTTGGAGTCTAATTAAAAGGCTTGATATTTAATGACTTTAATTGACTGTTCCCCAGGGGCATGTTGAAGTCTGACTCAGAATTGGAATGTTAGACAAATGCAAGATTTGTGTACATGTGTGTTTGTGTCCAGCCATTTATGCATGTATGTGTACATACGCAAGCCACTGAATATATCTCTTTGTGCATATTTGCATGCATTTTGAAAATATGTACACGTGCACCATTTGGAGGAATAATTCTCTGCATATATATTGAATTTTAAACACGTTCTATTAAATGGATAAAGAGAATGTCAGTGTAGCCTTTTACTAAGCTTCTTCTGGCATCAAATTAGTTGTTCTATTGCAGGTGGAAACTTCTGAAGGAACTTGCTGAAATTAAATTTTAAGATCCAAGCATTCGCTATATCTGAACTCTCTTCCTTCTTTCCCTGAAGACAACCAAAAGTACTTGGACCTGAAAATTTGATTTTACCACACTCCTTTACAAGTTCACACCTGCTATAAAGTGACTAATTTGACCTCAGGAGGAAACTCAGTAAAAGGTTCAGTTAGCATGACCTGTCCATTCTATTTAATACAACCTGTCTAAATGAAGGATTGCTGCCTAAATATACTATAAGAAATATTGACAAGTGTATATCTATTTAACTGTGCATGTAAATTTGTATCTTGAAATGTATGTAATGGGCAAAGAAATCTGTAAGATGATTTCTATGATTAATATTTATTACTGGATTAAGTGCATTAACAAGAAAAGCGCATTCTTTAGCATTTATATATGTGCTATTTTATTATCTGTCTATCTATGATAAGACAAAGAACAAATAGGAAACATTTGATTTTCATGTATCACGTGCATTTGACTCTTTTAAAACAATGTTAGCATAATTTAGAATCCATTAATTTCTTGAAACAATGGATGGAGGTGTCATATCCCTCTTGAATTCAAAATGCCGCAGATTATACCAATGTTATTTTAAAAGACTCAATTGCACATGATTTTTTTTTTATTCAGTGTCACCCCATGCTAGGTAGTAAAGCCACTAAGACACAATGGGTGGGGAAGAATTAGGAACAGAAACATTAATAATGAGTGGGAAGAGAAAAGAGTAATCAGGAGGATAGTAGATAGCTATTGACTTTGCATTTAAATTTTTGTAGATTAAAATTGGCTGGAAAGCATGGAGCCAGAAGGGAGTTGCACAAGCAAGAAGTGCAAGAAAAGAAACTATTATTATAGAATTTATGGTTACTTCTAGCCAGCTCATCTGTAAATTGATGATATCTCAACACTGTCTTGTACTGCACTTAAATTTAAAAAGTCTAGATACCAAAACGAAGAGCTCATCCAGGCAATTACCATGAAAGTATTTATAGAAAAGGCGCAGAGAGGCAACCTTATGGTGGTGGGAAAGTAACCGAGCTGCCAGATCAGGACCAATAATAATAATAGCAGGGGCACTGCACCATACATGGCAGCAATATTCTAAGCATGGATGAATGGTAGACTTATAGATATGTATGATAGAATCTGGAGAGGAAAATTTCTCACCCAACACAGTGAACCAAACTTCTTGGCAGCTGACCTTGCAATGGATTCAATATAGTCTTTCCACTTCATTTCATTTGAGAACATTAGCCAGAGGAGGTGCAATGAGTCACTTTCCTGGAGGTTAGAATCAGTCATGCTGATGGAAGGCAAAGAGGGGTCTCTCATTAACCAATGAAAATCAAACAACACAAAATGGATAATACCAGACTGTCTTTCTTCTTTTTCTCAATATGTCAGTCTCTAATGAAGCTTTAATAAAAGTGAAATGTTAGATTGATAAACATTTCCTATTTGTTTTTATTTTTTTTATTTTATCATTATGTCAAATTCCAATCCATATTTTCTTTTATATTTATCAGTTGTTATATAAAGACACATGAAAATATCACCTTGTTGCAATTTATTTCACTTCATTTCACCTCTACTAACAATGACGACTTGTTATTTACATGTGTATATAAAGTTTGCCATTGCTTTTATTTCAACTAAGAACAGTACTGCAACAACTTCAGTATTCGGTGGTCCATGATTTCTACTCATTTTATAATAACAAAGCAAGCTTTCAATGCAAATCTGCCTCTGTAATTGAAATGATTTGACATTCTAGTATATGTAAAATCTGTATCCAATTTTGGTTTATGACCACATCATATTGAAACACTAGTTTCCATAACTTTCCTGAAGTTAAGCAATGTTCAGTACCTAGATGGGTAACCACTTTAGAATACAAAGTGCTGTAAGCTTGCATGTGTGGATGGTGTAATGGATAATGGCTCAGAATTGTTAACTGGAGAGCAGAGATCCAATTCCAATAGGGTTTGTTATATTCCCTTAAGCGTCAATAGCATTGGGAAAGGTAGGAATACCCCTCTCTTCCACCCAGCTATGGATTAATTAGTAAGTTTGTATCACTAAATTATTATTATCTCCCCCCACCACCAAAAAATTCTTACAATTCAAAAAATATTTTCTGGATTTAAATAACTTGAAAAGTGCTAATAATCAATAGAAAACAAATAAATCAATTAAACAAATATTGATTAGCTACACAGGCATATAAATGTATAGAAACAACATTGGCCCCAAAGTGATGGATCAGTTTATATGTTGATTGTAATATAGAATTGATCCCCCATTTCTAGCCACATCATAATTTATTGTTTATCAAATTCTGATTAGGTATGAATCCATCTCTTATCCCTCAGCTATGGGTTAATTAGTAAGACTTGTATCACTAAATTATTGTTATCTGCCCACCAAAAAAAAATTCTTACAATGTAAAAAAATATTTTCTGGCTTTAAATAACCTAAAAAGGGCTGGTAATCAGTAGAAGATGAATCAATTAATCAATGTATCCAATTTCTTTGTATATCAAATGATTTTAACCATCATTATTTTCTCATCCCTAACCAACCTGACAAATTTATTTCTTTGAGACTCAAAGTTTTGAAATCAGGCAAAACTTGATATCTTATTAAGACAAGTGTTGCCATTTTTAAGTTGTTTTTAGCACAACATTTCTATTGGTTATTTCTCCAACCATCATCTGGTGGAATGTTCATATTACCTTCAAGCCACTATTCTTATCAAACTCAATAACAAATTGAAGACAAGATGGCTGTAAACACCGAAGCCAGAGGAATTCATTTCCCACTTCAAATAATGTCACCAAACATGTTCAATCAATGAGAAAGTGCATACCAATATTCAGATCAATTTCACTGTAGCAGTGAAACACTCCTAACAGAATTTCTCATAGATGAGGCTTTCAAAGCTATTGATATGCTTAGGAATTAATTCTGAAAATTTTGAAAGTTGGCTGGAGGTTTGCCACTTAATCTCTGTTATAAAACTTGCTTATGTGGTGGAAAAGAGGGAAAGGAAAAAAAAAAGGAAATATGATGACAGAAAAGAAAAAGAAAGAGATAAAGAGGAAAATAAAGAAGGCAGCAAAACTGTGGAGGAGCTAAGAAAAGGAAAACTTAAGGAAAAAAATGATGAGAGAAAAGGAAAGGAAAGGAAAGATAATCAAAAGGGAAAATGAAGAAAGTGAAGACAAAAGAAAAGCAGATGAAACTAAAAAAGGAAAAAAAATCAAGGGAAAGAAACATAATGAGAGAAAGTAAAAGGAAAATGAAGGTAAAAATCGATGAGAGGCTAAAAAAAGAAAACTTTAGGGAAAGAAACATGATGAGAGAAAAGAAAGAAAAAGGAAAATGAAGAAAGAAATAAAGGAAAGCCTGGATGAGGGGCTAAAACAACTTTGGGGAAAAATGAAAGAAAAGAAAGGAAAACTGCTAAGAGGCTAAAAAAGAACAACAACTTTAGAAAAAAAATGAAAGAAAAGAAAGGAAAATGAAGGAAAAACTGCTGAGAGGCTAAAAACGAACAACATCTTTAGAAAAAAAATGAAAGAAAAGAAAGGAAAATGAAGGAAAAACTGATGAGAGGCTAAAAACAAACAACATCTTTAGGGAAAGAAAGATGAAGACAAACATGTAAGAAAAAAAGAAAATGAAGAAAAGAAAAGACACAAAAGCTGATGAGAGGCTAAAAAAAGAAAGACAACTAAACTTTTGGGAAAGAAAGATGAGAGAAAAGAAAGAAAAAGGAGAATAAATAAATAAAGGAAAACTGATGAGAAGCTAAAATAGAAAGAAAAATTTAGGGAAAGAAAAATGAAGAGAGTATATAAAGAAATAGGAAAATGAAGGAAAAACTGATGTGTGGCAAAAAAAAGAAACTTCAGGGACAGACAGAGAGGGCAACTAAGATATTAACCAAAAAACAAAAAAAAAGATGAAAATAAAAAACCTAGATGTAGAAAGAATGAAAGACAAAAACAAATATAGACATTGTGCGATGGATAAATTGTCATCTAAATTACACAAATAACACTGACATTTCATTTTAATAGATATATTTACCAAAATTACAGAAAAATATCTTGAAATACTAAAGAGTAAATTTATTCAATAAAATCACCATTTCCTTCAACCATGACTTTGGAATCTCCTGCATCTCTTCTGGACAATCTCCTTGTTTAAGTTGCTGAATGTTGCCATAATCATTGCCCTCAGCTCATATTTAGTGTTACAAGGAATTTTGTTGATCTCTCACTCAACTGCACCCCACACATAATAATCAAGGGGGTTGCAGTCTGGGGAGTTAGGTGGCCAGATATAAGCGGTGATGTGGTCGCAGAAATTGTCTGGTAGCCATGATTGGGTTCTCCTGCTTGTGTGGCATGGTGCAGAGTATTGTTGCTAGACATGGGTTCTTGACCCCAGACAGCACTACCTTCTCAAGGCATTTGATGTAGGCCTCTGTGCTGACTCTGAGGCCCTCACCAACAAACTCAGGAGTTCTTTTTTAACCAGAATGATCAGAGTGAATTTTCAGACTTGCTGTACCTTCATAATCACCATTAAACTCATCTAACTCTTTCAGAATCATCTGTACTGTCCTCATATTGACACCTACTGTTCATACTGGAGCTTCCAAAGTGCAGAAGCAGTACAGAATGCTGTTTCCAAAATTCTGGTGACGTTGCAATGTAATATATCCTGTTCACAGCGTCATGTAGAGTTTAGTAGTGGCAAACAATAATACTCGACTACAACAAAAGTTGAGTCTTACTGAGCAAGTGTAGAATTTGGTAATAGCAATAGAGAGTACTCAACTGTAATGGAAATTGAGTCTGACTGACAAAACTGCTAACCTGGTCAAGTTGGTGGTGGTTTATATGGCAACCTGGGAGATTCCATTCTGATAGTAAGGCAAGCCTATTCTGTAAGTCCTGATTGGCTACTGATTCTAGTGTGGATACTGTACTCAATAAATACCTCATCAGTAAACTGTCAATAGAGATGGTAAGTGATAAAAAGAAAGAGAGTTCTTAGAACAGGGGACAATTATAAGATATAATTAATATGGTGTAAAAATGGAAATATGGAAATTAGAATGTTATACATTCAACATTTGAAGAGTTAGAGAAATACTGTAGTTAATAAAGTAAAATCTATATTATGGAAATTTGAATTTGTTTTCATGTTGACATTGTAAAACTAATTCATTCCTTTGATTCAATAGTTGGCTTTGATTATTGTATTTTGTTATTCTAATTTTTTCTTTTAAACATAACTTACACCTATCTCTAAGACTATTAGGAATATATGCAGAACCAATAATATTCCAATTTAGCAGTGATTTGAAACATTTTTCCTTCAATTCCAAAATTTTTTTTGAAAGAGCTATCTATATATATATATGTGTGGGTATACGTTTATAAACTCTTAACAGTACATACTCTAGCTATACCACTATACAGTGCTTTTACAAAGTGTGTGATTCAAGTTTTCCTACTTGAATGTTCATATCCTCAGTTGTAGGAGAACTATACATACAAGTCTATGCATTCATATGTAAGTGAGACAAGACTTATTTCAGTAGCACTACAAAATAAAATTAAATTAAACATGATCTCATTTGACCCATTAAATTGTAATAAATTCTCTTCTGTTCTAAGTAACTAATTTAACACCAAATGTTAAAAATGGTAACAAAATCAAAACAGAACACAAAGGAAAGTAATGCATATTATGTTTCTGTTGGGTTTTTTAATCAGTCCCTACCCCCCAAGCAAGGTGATAATACTCCTAGGATGCAGGGGGTTAAGTGGATTGAAAGAGAATGAGAAAACTTTAGTGAGGAGAAGTGAGGAAAAGGACAATAAAGAAACAGGTTTCGGGAAGACAGAAGATGGCAACTGATATTACATTTAATTTTTTAAAGATTGTTAGGGATGCAAGAAATAACAAGGGAGTTCCACAGGCAAGAAGTATGAGAAAAGAAACTGTTAGAATGTAACAGACAGTTGCATCTAGCTTGTTCAACAGTGTTTTTTTTTATTAAATCAATAAATTAGCCAAAAATATTAAATATATTTTTAAAATGTTTTTACAAGAATTAATAGAAGTACATGATTTGAACAACACATCTGAAATCGTACATGGAACGATTAATGTCTGGAATATGAAAGGTTGTCCACCTCTGGGCTGCATAAAGAGCTTGTTTATCAATGTTATTGGAATCTTAATATCTGTGTGATTACAAGCAAACAAATAAATAAATAGAATTTATAAAATCTTCCCAATTTGTCAACTATTGACTTAGATATTTTTAGCAATCTGCAGTGAAACATTTTTTTTTTTTTTTAGCAAGCCAACATGCAACACTGAAATCTGAAGACATATTGGGATAGGCAAAGAAGCATTCCAAAAGCTAAGCAGAGTATTAAGAGACAGAAAAAAATTCTAGGGAAACAAAGAAAAGATTAGTGAACAGTTACGTGATATCTGTCCTCCTGTATGGCAGCAAATGCTAAACAATCTCCGCAAAGATGAAAAAAGACTTGAAGCAACAGAAACGTGCTTCTACAGAAGTATTCTGAGAATACCATGGACTGAACATGTGAGCAAACAACAATGGAGTTTTGGAGAGAATGGAAACAAAAAGAAAACTTATACTTAAAATTAGGACAAAGCAGTTGAAATTTCTATTAGAAACCTTAGAAGGATTCACTCTTGGCAACTACAATTATGACAACATAAGATATGCAGATGACAATGTTGATAGCAGACATAGAAAGAAAACTACAGATAGCAAAGGAAAATGAGAAGAATGGATTAAACATAAACTGCAATAAATTAGATTGGATGGTTGTCAGTAAAAGAGACAGCCCAGCATGTGGATTACAAATTGGAGATGGCAAAATTAAACAAGTGCAAGCATTTAAATATGTAAGAAGTGTTTTAACAGAGAAGAGAAAATGAAAAACTGAAATTCAAAGGCGCATTAGGATAGCAAAAGATGCCTTATAAAAGCTAAGCAAAGTATTAAGAAAAAGGAAAATTGCATTGGAAACAAAGAAAATAGTACTTAACTGTTATGTGAATGCTTGACAATCTTCTCAAAGACGGAGAAGAGACTTGAGGCAACAGAAATGTGGTTGTACAGAATTATGCTGTGAATACTATGGACTGAACATGTGAGCAACAACAAGGTTCTAAAGAAAATGGAAATAAAAAGAAAGAGATAGCTGAAATTTCTAGGACACATAATGAGGAAAGAAGGCTTGGAAACTCTAGGATATACTGGAGTCAAGTAGGACAGACGAAAACAGAGTGTAACTGTTATAATGTTCAATCTAGACTTGGCCACTGTGCCATGTGTCCTCAAGGACACATGGCACAGTGGATAAAGGCATTAATTAGATCCAGTGACAGGACCCAAAGAGTGTGAGTTCAATACCTGGTTAAGGCAGTGGAGAACTTTTAGAGGTAAATTAACAGGAGATAACTGATAACTGACATCCATTAAACATGGCAAGTGGAACGAGAACAGTCTCCCCAGTGAGCAAAATAAAGGGTTCAGTTTGACATTCCAACCACCTGAAGAAGGCCAGAGCATACAATGGCCAAAACGTTGTGATAAATATGGCGACAAAGATGAGGACAATAGTCCAAATAATGTAAATAATGTTATAATGTTCATATAATCTTGTCATTCTGGTTAATACTATTCCAAGGAAAAACACTAGAACAAAAGATTGGTGAAGAAACTATTTACTTACATGGATTAATAATACAATAATTGCGGATACTGTAGTTAGTGTGTGTTATAGTGGAACACACCTATTCTATAGTTAATAGACTCTCCCACCTATAATAAGTAAAAGTAGTAAGAGTAACGAGGAGTCGCTCAGTGGTTCGGTCAGTCATTCAATGTCGGACGACCATTAGTCGAATACTATAAGTATCAGCGACCACAACTAAATTACTGCATCATACCTATTATATGAAGTTCCTAATGTTTTGTGCGTCGAACCTGTTTTAGGACCGACTTAGTACAAATACAAGCCTCCACTGTGAAATCACTCCATAACAGTGTGTCAACGCATGTGGCCCACTTTGCAGCACACTTGTGATTCCTGTTCCTATGAGTGGATATCCTACTCATAGTGAGTGGATGAGTCTATATCCAACAATTAGTATAGAACAGGCTAGTCGTCTTTCTAACGAACAATAACCAACCTAAGGAGCTTGAGTAAATGGTTGGCAGAACAGGGATTAGTAGAGATATAGCAAGAAGGCACACTTTACTAAGTGTTACAAAGGACAGGAATTTGTGGAGAGCCATGATTGTCAATGTACTGAACAGACATGGCACATAGAAAAACCTCATAGATTGTTGCGACTGAAGTGAATTTGATCCTCATTGGGTGCCTCACACTTGTCACCTCCTGCCAGACTGATCTCTTTTATACCTCGTTGATTTATGGGGTATTGTTAACAAGAAAAGTAGAATGGGTAACTGGAGAAAGAGGAGGCTATACAAAATGAAATGCATTTTAATCACACATGTTTATCTGAGATTTTACTAGTAAACAAGTACAAAGATCTACAGATTAAACAAAATGGATGTACATTGTGGTGTAATAGATATCACTTCAAATGAGAAATCAGAGAGCCGAGTTCAAATTCCAGTCAGGTTCATTGCATTCACTTATGCACAAATGGGAAAGGTATGAATCCATCTCTTCTACCTCCAGCTATGGATTGAATAACAGGACAGACTGGATTTTATAGCCTTGGTTGGTAAGCAGTCCACACAGAAAGAAACGGCAACCTACTGTGGGAAAATCTCTGCCTAGTCAGTGATGAATCAAAAGAAATATGATTGCCTAAGCATGTATCAGGTATGAAGCATAACTGAATACTGAATAAATACAACATTAATGTGTAATATATGTTGCATTCCTCTTCCAAATTATTTACAATATTCAATTGGGTTAAATGCCAGCTGAACAAGCATATCACTTCATCAAATGAATGTTTCAGAAACTCATTTTATTCAGATATGTATTACTTTGCTTCATTGAATGTGATTATTATGCATAAAAATCATTTGCTTTCTAAATGTGTTGAATCATGGCTCCAAGCATACCTTAATTAATTAAGACAAAGTAATAAATATGTGCAGGTGGTGTAATGGACACAAGCTCTGAATGAGAAATCAGAGAGCCGAGTTTGAATTCCAGTCAGGTTCATTGCATTTACTTATGCAGAAATGGGAAAGGTATGAATCTATCTCTTCTCCTTCCAGCTATGGATTGAATAACAGGACAGACTGGATTTTATAGCTTTGGTTGGTAACCAGTCTACTGCAGAAAGAAATGGCAACCTACTGTGGGAAAAAAATCTGTCTAGTCAGTGATGAATCAAAAGAAATATGATTGCCCAAATGTGTATCATGTATGAGACTTAACTGATTGAGTGCTATATATTGAAAAGTTCCTGCCTTGAAAATTAACATTAATTTTTTTTTTTTTTGACTTTTGCAGTAACTACTGATTGTGTCTAAACCAGCAAGTGGGTCTTGACTGAGGTTTAGAAAAATAGAAAGATATGATCAGTATGAGGGGAGAGGTAGATTATATATTATCACATTACTGTCAAAGAGTCAGATAAATCTTATTATCATACTCTCTGGCACTGATGAGCTATATTATTCAAAACTCTAGAGTTGGTCAAGAGATAAATTGTTTGACCACTTATTAACTTATTGACTATTGTTGCTCTAGTTATCTATTGATCACTTTTATCAGAAAAATTCTGTGAGCTTTCCTTGATATGAAATGCCTGTTCCATACATGGGCAGTCGTGTCTGTTTGTAACCAAGTGGTGTGAATCTGTAGGGAAGAAAACAGCAACTTACCTTGTCAAATCAAGCAACAGCATGTCGCATGTATCCTATGATGGAAAATATGGCGAAAAAGAAAATTACTTACCAAAAAAAAGGGGTATGTATTCTGCATGACATGCTGAAGACAGAGTATTTAACTTAGAAACAATTCAGTCACAGGAGTCGCTATAAAAGTATTTTGATACGCAAAAATTGAGTGTCCTCTCCCAGTTGTTGATGAATTAAAAAAATGCTCTACCAATAAAAGCAAAAGAGAAAATAAAATTCGATGATTTTTCGCTACCGCATTGGTCAGAGAGTGAATTATTTTTCTGACTAGTTACGTGCATTGTGATTTGTGAGATAGTCCCTGCAAATCGAATTTTTGGCATTTCTTTCTGCCCACAATGTTCGAGTCTGAACTTACAATGATTTATTCTCTGCGTTGTAGAAGTAATCTGCAACAAATATTTCCTTTACAATCCCAGATTGCATACAGAATTTTATAGTCACCATGCAGTGCTGATTGAAGCACTATATCTCTCTCGTCTTATGGTGATTTAGTTTAGTTTATTATAGCACAAGGCCAGAGAGTCTTTAAATAACCAGCAAAGGGTTGATAAGCTGTAAAAAATAAATAAATTAATTCATTTTTTAAAGCTTAAATAAAGCAAAAGAACAAACAAGTGAAAATGGGTTAAGTAAAATTGTGTTATTCCCAGTAAAGAGATAGTTTATGCCTAGAAAATTTGCATTCCAAAATTATGACCTTAACCTAGGCTCAAACACCAACCTCTGTAACTAGTTGAAATGAGCAATGATTTTAACAAGTATATCTATTTATTAACTACATGCAAGAACAAATGAGAAGAAATGAAATAGGAAGATTGTGTTGCATCATTCTTTAAGATGGGGAGAGTGTGCCTACTGAGAAAATCAGCTTTCAAGTTCCTATTCTTTTGCATGAAATTGAACACTGTCCTCTAGCAGGAAGCAGGCCACTTGTTTATATACTTATATTTATTGCTAATCAATGTCATGAAAAAATAACTGTTTAAGTAAGAGTTTTCCATTGTAAATCTAAGAAAGAATCAAGTTACAATAGAATTACCATTTTGATTTCTGTTCTTTGAGAGTTTCCTTCCACTGTCCTTGAGAAGATTTGAAATTGTTTACATCGACAGACATGGTGCCTAGAGTCTTGCCAACACTGTTTCCGAACAATACCAGAGATTCTGAAGTCTGATGTCCCTGTTTTGTTAATGAAGAAAATTTTGTTATGGCTGATTATGGTCTAATCAAAAGATCAACAATAGTAGGTATTGAAACCTTGAGTAGTGCCAGCAATTTCCTGCAAAACGGTCTTCTGATTCCACCTGAATCACAATTCTCTTTTTAAATATATTTTTTTATTTCACATTGTTATTGTTGATTTTTATCCCACCACTCTGGGTCAATATGCACTTGATTATTACTATTATTTTATTACAAGTTTTATTTCTATAGTAGTGTATTCAGTGTGCATGTGAACATTGACACTGAACTATGTGTCAGTGGCAAAATATCACCTGGTCTGATAAGTCTTACTTTCTCCTGCATAAGGTGGGCTGCACTCCTGGTAAATTTGGATCATTATTATGGGGAAAAGGTGACACCAAGATGCAAGTGACATCAGAGCAAGTGAAAATATTGTTATTACTTTGGAAACATTCTGTTAGGAAACATCGGTTCCTCTCATTCAAGAAGAAGCTTTTTTTTTATGTACCACCTACTTTAAAATCATTGAAAATCAGGTACATCACTTCATGGCATCATTCATGCTACACAAATTATATGGTAATGCTTCCAGGAACATGAAGAAAACGTCACTGTGTTGACTTGACCTTGAATTTTCCAAGATCACAATCACTTAGCCAGTGTAATGTACCAACAAGTTTGCTCTAGAGTTGGTCTACTTGGATTATGTGAACATGTAAAAATAATTTATTCAAATTGTAAATTGTTTGAATGAAAATTAATCGAAAGGACAATTGTACTAAATGATAAGTATTTGAAATGCAAAATTCTTTATTGTAATAAAAATGTAAAAATTAAAAGAGGAAATACACTAATGTTAATTATTCAAAATACAAATACCATTAATAAAACAATTTAGTAAGAAAAAATCCTTATAAGATTAAGTTATATGGGTAAAAAGTGGTGTTCTTTCTTCTGAAATGGCAGAGCAATTGAGACTGTCTGGCTCTATTCGTCCCCGTCTTTATGGATTACCCAAGATTCATAAGAAGGGTGTCCCGTTGAGACCCATATTATCGATGATTGGGTCTTCACAGCATAATGTCACAAAGTGGCTTGCTATAATGTTGCAACCAGTGTTGCAGCATTATAGTTCCTTTTTCTTTTTCCAAATTCATTCGGAATTGTGATGCCACTGATGGATTTATGTGTTCCTTTGACATCTGTAGCCTCTTCACTTGTGTTCCTTTATCGGAGACTATTGATATTTGCAGTAATATGTTATATCGTAGTGATTAGACTCCTCCAGATATACCTGAAGAAGTGTTCATTGAAGTCATGAAATTTGCCACCATATTTGTTGATTTTAGTTTCGACAATATCATGTATCGTCAGATCAATGGTGTAGCGATGGGTTCCCCTTTGGGTCCTGTGTTGGCAAATATTTTTGTGGGTTTTTATGAGGAAAGCCTTTTGTTAGGTTCTGCCCCACCCACTTTCGGTATGTGGATGACACTTTTTGTGTGTTCAGCCATGAATCGGAAGTGGATCAATTTTTTTCCCTACTCAATGGTGTTCATCCTGCCCTTAAATTTACAGTAGATAAGGAGGTCAATGGTTCATTGCCCTTCTTAGATGTTCTTGTTCAAAGAACTCCTTCCTCGTTTATTACCTCTGTTTACAGGAAGTCTACCTTTACAGGTCTATATACTCAATGGGACTCTTTTTGTCCTAAACGACAAAAGATAAATTTGATTAGAACCCTGACACATAGGGCGTTAATGATTTGTTCGGGTGACACCTTGAAAGATGAAATCAGTTGTTTAACTGAGATCTTTGTGAACAATGGTTATCCGTTGAACATTGTTCACTTGGTTATTCGAGATAAGACTGCCAGGTTCAATAAAATCAAACCTGCTATAGGGGGTAAATGTCCGGTCTATCTTCCTTTACCGTGGTTGGGTAGGATTAGTGAATCCTTCGCCAAGTGTATTTCATGTAGTTCACGTGAGTGTTATTTTGCAACGAATGTTCATGTTGTTTTTCAAACTACCCCCCCACCATATTAATTCTGTTATTTACCATTTCAAATGTAGTTGTGGATGTGACTACATAGGTAGAACGACACAGTGTTTGGACATTAGAATTAAACAGCACGTACCTTCTATAATACTGAATAAAATTTTTATTTGGGCGATACCATTCATAACACATATGGGTCTTCAATTGTGGATCACTTTATAAAGAATCCCACTTGTGCAATGAATTTCAGTGTGAACTGGTTTTCCATTTTGGCCGGATCGCACTCATTATTCCATCTTAAGGTGTTGGAGATGCTTTACATCAGGTCCAGGTGACCTGCTCTTTGTAAACAAAGAGATTGTTTGCTTGGACTTGCTGTGCTGTGCTTCTAGCATCTTTGTTGGTATAATTTTTATAATTATTTTTTTTTTCCCTGTCCACTCATTCATGTCATCCATGACAGACTTTTTTTTTTTTTTTCATAATTTTAGTTCCCCGTTAACACTTCTGATGAGAGGAGACGAAACCGGTCGAGTGGTGTGTGTTTTTGTTTTAAATCTATCATGGCCTATAATATAAAATTTCTTACTTTTTATGCCTTAATACATTTCTGTACTATTGTAAGAATACAGAACAGGGCAGAAGAATCTAAAAACAAACACTTCTCAAAAATATTATTCTCCTTTCCATTTAAAAGAAATGTTTTTAAAAACAGTGAAGACAGTTGGCAAGATTCCATATTTGGGCTTTTGATTGGTCCTGAATTTAATTATTGCTTCTGCTACCACCATTATTCCTGTTTGGTTTTAAAATTCTTCAGTCTTAATTAGTACTTCTGTTCTGTCAGTAGCAAACACATATAAACATTTCTTCATCAATAAACACACACATACACATGTGGGTGTGTATATATATATATATATATATATATATATATATATATATATTATGAAAAGTTCTTGGTCAGACTAATTTTTTACTCATTTCACCCCAAATAAGGTGATAATGCCATTAAGATGCATGGGCTTACAGAGAGTGAAAGAGAATGAGAAAACTTTAATGAGGAAAAAGAACAAAGGAATAGGATAATAGATGGTGATTGATATTGCATTTAAATTTTTGAAGATTGTGACAGGGAAGAAAGAAACTGGGAGGGAGTTCCACTGGTGAGAAATGCAAGAGAAGAAGGTATTAGAATAGAACTGATGGTTGCATCTTGCCAATCTAGTAGTGTGCTTAAATTCATGCAGTTGAGACATTATGTTAAAAAGCTCATCAGAACAATTGTCATAAAAATATTTGTAGAAAAGATAGAGAAAATCCATGTCACATTGGTCAGAAAGTGACTACAGTCAAGATGCCTGATCAGGATCAATTACTTTTCAGACTCTTCTTTGAATTTTGTCAAGAATCTTGAGATATATAGTAGGAGCACCAGACCAGATATGGCAGAAATATTCTGTGTACAGACGAATGGTAGATTTATAAATGTGAAAGATAAATTCTCACAAAAAATTATTTGGTATAACACAGTGAACCTATTTTCTAGCAGTAGACCAAGCAATTGATTCAGTATAGTCATTTTACTTCATGTTATATCACTTCAACTAAGAAGGTGCAAGGTGTTGCTTTCCTGGAGGTTAGCATCAGCCATGCTGACAGAAAGCAAAAATAGTTCTCTATGATGATTAAATGCAAGCAGTTTTGCTTTGGAGGTATTGATATTTACAAACCATTTCTTGTTAACCACTGATTGGAAGCAGTTGTCAGGTTTACTTTATTGGGGCATATAGTTGTGTCATCAGAATAAATACCTAGTTGGAAACTGATGACATTGGGAAGGTTGTTGATGAAGATAAGACATAACATAGGTTCATGGATAGACTCCTGGAAGAACCCTACTTTAACATGAAATCAACTAGAAGAGCATTTCTTCAACATAACCTTTATTATATGATATGTTAGGAATGATTGGATTAAGCCAAATATTTGTCCAGAGACACTGTAGCCCTTGAGCTTTTGGAGAAGGACAGCATGCTAAACCCTGTTGAATGTGTTTGAGATATCTAGAGTCACAGCCTGAACTTCACCATTCTTATCTAAAGCTTGATAGAGTAATTCAGTGATAAATTATCATTGGTAAACTTGGAGAAATAGAAGCTATATTGTTCATCTGAAAGGAGGCTATATGAAGAAAAATTCCAGGTACCTCTAATTTTTTTGCCACATCCTGCCTTGGAATCCATATGATCAAGCTCATCACTTTTTGGGTGGCACAGCCAGGCCCCTAAACAAGAACAAAACAACATTCCACCCATGCATGTGGGTGGTTCGGCCTTAGAGTTGGAATCCATGGAATAGGGCTAATATTGTTTTTTGCTATGTCCTGCCCAATGACCACATCCCACCTGTGCATTGAGGAGGTTCTGCTTTGGAGTTGGAATCCACAGGACCAGCTTTTTCTTTTGTTTTCTTTTTTTTAAAATCCTACACCACATCCCGCCTGAAAACAAGAACTTAGGAAAAACAGATCTGACACTCAGATCCCAACAAAAAATTTGGTTGTGCTCTGAATTTAGCCCCAGTACTAGAATTTTTTTCAGCTCAAGTGAGAGAAACATTTTTCATAAGGTAAACCCAGTACTTATACTATTGGTGCAGCAAAAGTTTTGGACTTAAACTGTACTCATAACAATGCTTGGAAAAATATATGATGTGAATGTATGATAAATATCTATCCATATCTATGTCTGTCCATAATGTCTATTATCTTAGCACAGACATGTATTATTTCTGATCAAGTCTCGACATGTCTTTCCTGCAGCTGATGTTTTAGCCATCATAGCCATGTATAATTAACCATTCTGATGCCAAACATATAGTTTATCATGATTCTTTTGTTCAAATCCTGTTTACAAGGTCCACTCATT